TTGCAACCCCATGGACTACAGCCCACCAGGCTCCTGTGTCCATGGGATTCTTTAGGCAAGAACACGAGTGGTTTCCATTTCTTCGTCCGGGGGATCTTCCCGACCCTGTGAGTGAAGCCAGATCTCCCACATGGCAGGTAGATTCTTTACCTTCTGAGCCAGGGAAGGCTGTGCACACATCCGAACACACAGGATTGTTTGCTGGAGGAGCCCATTGTCTAGTTGTGGGTGTCAGGCCAGCTCACAGTTCCCACATGCCTCGAGCAGGGCTCTGGGCAGACTCACAATCAATGATGTGGTCGTTCCATCACTTTAGACAAGTTTAGCCTGGTTAAATTTGGCTAGGCTTTCCCGATGCCTCAGTGGTAAAGAACCCACCTGCAATGGAGGAGACGTGAGTTCAATCCCTGGGTCGGGAAGATCCCCTGGAGGAGGGCATGGCTACCCACTCCAGCCCATGGACAGAGGAGCCTGGAGGGGCTACAGTCCATGGCGTCGCAAAGAGTTGGACACGACTGAGTGAGTCAACAACAAACATGTCCTCTGGCTGGATGTATACCTGGGAGAATATCCTGACTGTGGTTAGGCCATGCCTCTCAGCTGCACACACTATCTTAACTACCAAAGCATTTTTGTTTTTAAAGGCCTTTGCATTCTGCTTATAGGAGGTGTTCTCTGTACTTGCTAATAATCTCGAAAAGAACAGCAGTGATTCTGTGAGAGCTGGGGAGGTGGGGCACATCCTGGATGGATGGCCGGACTAAGGATCGTTTGTATGAAATGGCTGCAATGGGGAGGGGTTCGCTGGCTTTGCCGGAGTGTGGGGTTGGGAGTGGCAGCTGGCCTGGCACTCGGCACGCATCCTGCTTGTTTGGAGCAGTCTTTGGCTCGTGACCTAATCGGGTTGTTACAGCCATCAAGCTTGGCCCCGATCCTGGGCGTGCTCAGTCGTGTCCGACTCTTTGCGACCCCGTGGACTGTAGCCCGCCGGGGCTCCTCCGTCCGTGGGATTCTCCAGGCAAGAATCCCGGAGTGGGTTGCCATGCCTTCCTCCAGGGTATCTTCCTGACCCAGGGATCGAACCCATATCTCTTATGTGTCCTGTATTGCTAGGTGGGTTCTTTACCACTAGCACCACTCTGGAATATAATCTAACCTATATTCTTTTTAAAAGATAAAAAGGAAACCTCTATCACCCTTATATTTTAACCAATAACCCACTGAACATTCCAGGTAATGTATATCTACATAAATTACCTTCTGAATTAAGTTGTAAATCTGGGCTTCTTAAGATAATAGCTGTGGCCATTCTCTTGTTAGTAGCACCTCGCCGGAAAATCTTGCCAAAGAAGTAAAGGTGGTCAAGTTTTGTTGATCGTTCCTCAGCTTTGATGCCATGGGCTGCTATCAAGTACAAACTCAGTTCAGATCAGTCGCTCAGTCATGTCCAACTCTTTGCATCGCAAATCATTGAGGATCATTCATTGGGATCAACCCAATGAATCGCAGCATGCCAGGCCTCCGTGTCCATCACCAACTCCCGGAGTTTACTCAAACTCATGTCCATCAAGTCCATGATGCCATCCAGCCATCTCATCCTCTGTTGTTCCATTCTCCTCCTGCCCACAATACCTCCCAGCATCAGGGTCTTTTCCANTCTCAAGAGTCTCCTCCAACACCACAGTTCAAAAGCATCAACTCTTCAGTGCTCAGCTTTCTTTATAGTCCAACATTCACATCCATACATGCCTACTGGAAAAACCACAGCTTTGACTATGCTTCGTTAAAAAGTCAAAAGCAATCTAAATATATACATCTAAGTCTATAAAAACATCTGTTAAAACACATTTTCAGAGACTTCCCTGGTGATCCATTGGTTGAGACTTCACCTTCCACTGCAGGGGGTGTGTGTTGGATCCCTATCAGGGAGGGAAGATCCCACATGCCTCGCTGCCAAAAAACCAAAACATAAAACAGAAGCAACGTTGTAACAAATTCAATAAAAACTTTTAAAGGTGTCCACATTAAAAAAAATCTTTTAAAAAGACCACATATTCAGATGGGATTTTTGCTGCCCTAATGTCATACAGTTTTTCATCATGACTTTAAAAGAGGTTATCTATGTAGATGACACTTGCTGAAATATCATTGATGATACGTGGCTCAAATTGACCAAAACATCATCGCTTCTAAACAAAGGACAGTTTGCGGTGTAGGTTTTTCTGTTTCCAATAAAACTTTTCTGCATCTGGCAAATAGATCAGGAACTTGTTGGTTGCCGTGGTAAAGTTTTCCATTATGTCAGAGCAGTGTTAATTTTCTTCTAATGAACAGGTTCGATGTAATTACATCTCTAGTTATGAAAATGTTCTTTTGTCTCTCTGCTGCAGAATAATTCAGTTTTAGAAATAGCTATGTTCTCAAAAAAACTTTGCTTTTCTTCTTTGCCAAATGAAGGTTGTTCAGAAAAAAATTTTTTTTTTTTTTAGGGAGGATAGTTTGCTATTTTTGAAAAATTAATGTGCTATATACTCTTAATATTTTAGAGCACTTTTATTTCATTTTAAGTACTTTTATCAACTAATTCTTTTCATAGTTTGAAACATCTTTAGGAACACCTGTTCTACTCCATGTTTGTGGGTGAAAAATAAGTTCTGGTTATTATGATAACAGTTTTCATGCAGTGGGATCGTAAGTGACTACTAAGAAAGATAAACCTTCAGACATTCTTTTTTTGGTCTTAATTTAGCTTTAATTGGGGGATAATTGCTTTACAATATTGTGTTGGTTTCTACCATATATCCACGAGTGAGCCGTAGGTATACATACGTCCCCTACCTCTTGAACCTGCCTCCCACCTCCCACCCCATCCTGCCCCTCTAGGTTGTCAGAGAGCACAGGTTTGAGCTCCCTGCATCAGACAGCAAATTCCCCCTGGCTGTCTGTTTTACATATGACAATGTGGATACATCAGTGCTATTCTCTCTTTTATTCCCACCTTCTCCTTGCCCTTCACCGTGGCCACAAGTCTGTTCTCCGCGTCCGCATCTCCATTGCGGTCCTGCACATACGTTCATCATCACCATCTTCTACGTTCCATGTGTATGCCTTAACATATGGTGTTTGTCTTTCTCTTTCGGACTCCCTTCACTCTGCATAACCGGCTCTGGGTTCATCCACCTCGTGAGAACTGACTCAAATGCGTCCCTTTTGCATGGCTGAGTAGTATTCCATCACGTACATGTACCATGACTTCTTTATCCGTTCCTCTGTCGATGGGCGTTCAGGTAGAACACTCTTCGTTTTTAAGGTGACCGAGTCGTAAAGACACAGTGACAGATGCTCAAAGGGAGGCGGACAATTACAGAATTGTTCCCAAGCTCTCGTTTGTGTCTGCTATCCCATAGGTATACAGAAGTTAGAGACACGGTTCCTTTAAAGCTGTGTCTTTACATTTATTTATTTGACGGCGCCAGGGTCTTCGCCATGGCGCGTGGGATCTTCCATTGTGGGGTGTGATGAATTCCCTCCTTCCACTGTGTTCGCTGCCACCTCTTAGCACCCAGTGCTGCCCCAGGCAATGAACACGGCCTTCCTTGAACTTGGAATGGTTTGCGACACACCCGTGTCTACACGTTTCCCTTTTAAAAGCTGCCCCACCGACAGTCGACAGTCGCAGCTGTTGACATCAACAAGTGGATTGTCTTGAAATGCCTGTTTTTTTTTTTTTTTTTTTTTGTNGGGAGAATCCCAGAGAAGGGGAATGGTCCCTCCCGCCAGCATCCTTCACGACTCTCTTGCCCTCGCCCTTTGCAGGGACATAATGACCCTTCTGCTTCTCCTGCTGTTCCTCTGCGAGGCCCACAGCCAGGCGGCGTCAAAGCCCAACTTCGTCCTGCTGATGGCTGACGACCTGGGCATCGGGGACCCTGGTTGCTATGGCAACAAGACTCTCAGGTGCGGCTATGGATCTTTGCGACCCCATGGACTATAGCCCCGCCAGCCTCCTCTGTCCTTGCGATTCTCCAGCCAAGACTGGAGTGGGTTGCCCTTCCCTTTCTCCAGGGGATCTTGCCAACCCAGGGATGGAACCCAGGTTTCCCGCATTGCAGGCAGATTCTTTACCGTCTGAGCTGCCAGGCAGAGACTGATGAAAACTTAAGAGCCTCTCTTTGGCTGTGGTTGGGAAGAGGAGAGTCAGGCTGCCCCCAGAGCTTTCTCGTTGTGGGGTACAGAGGTGACTAGGGGGCGGGGAATGCAGAGGCAACTGGGGGGAATAGCTGAGATGGAGAGAGAGAGACCTGGAAACATCTCCACCCCCCTGGTCCCAGCAGCCCATTCTCAGGACTCGGCTTCTCCCTCCTAAACCAGAAGCTCAGAGCCCTGGGCGAGTGAGGTGCCCCCAGAGGGCTGACCCCGATCGTGGAGTCCTCACTGTGGTTTTCCTATGACTCAGAGCCATGGTGCTCTGTCCCCTCCCTTTCCTTCCCTCCTTCCCACCACATGCTGTGGTTCAGTCGCTCAGTCGTGTCCGACTCTCTGCGACCCCACGGACCGCAGCACGCCAGGCTTCCCTGTCCATCACTGCATCCCAGAGTTTGCTCAAACTGATGCCCGTTGAGTCGGTGATGCCATCCAACCGTCTCATCCTCTGTCATCCCCTTCCCACCAATACACATGGCTCTATTTCCCTGGGTTACTGAGAAGCGATTCACTGTACAAAGCCCCCGAAGAAGCTTTCTTCTCAAGGTCGTGATGAATGACCCGCGAGTCTCTGTTCCAGGACTCCCAATATCGACCGCCTGGCCAGAGGGGGCGTGAAGCTCACACAGCACCTGGCAGCATCGCCGCTGTGCACGCCCAGCAGGGCGGCCTTCATGACCGGCCGGTACCCCGTCCGCTCAGGTAACGCCCCCTAGCTCCTGCACGAGGCCCTCCTCCTCCCAATCTTCATGATCCTCCCTGTCTTAACAGTGGTTTTCTTCTGGCTCAGGAATGGCATCTCAGTCCCAGGTGGGAGTTTTCCTCTTCTCGGCCTCTTCTGGAGGACTGCCCCCCAGTGAGATTACGTTCGCCAAGCTTCTGAAGGATCAAAGTTATTCCACAGCTCTGATAGGTATGGGCAGCCGGGTGCGGGGACTGAGGGCCTGGGCAGGGTCGTTGGGAGAGTGGGGAGGGCATGACCGCAGCCATCTTTAGGATGACATGCCTGATAGAATTTGCACAACTGCAGACAGGGAAGAAACCATTTCAACTCTAGATCAAAACAACAGGCATCTGTATGCACTGTTTGAATGTGTGCATGTGTCTCCTTATTTATGTATCTGTGTGTATGTGTGTCGATGGATGGATGGATGGATGGATGGATGGATGGATGGATGGATGATAGGTAGATAATGATAGACACAGATGGACTGACAGATGGACAAATGGATAGATGGAAAGATAGTTGAGTTAGGTGATACAGACAGGGAGAGGTAGCTCAGTAGGTGAGGTGGATGATGGGTGAATGGCTGATGGATGAATTGTGTATGCTGGATGGATGGATGGATGGTGGATGGATGATGGATGGATGGTGGGTGAATGGCGAATACTGGATGGGTGGATGGTAGGTAGATGGTGGATACTGGATAGATGGATGGATGCTGGGTGGACGGTGGATGCATGTATGGATACATAATGGATGGATGATAGGTGGATAATGGATACTAGATAAATGGATGAATGGTGGATGCTGATGGATGGACAGTGGATGGATGGATGATGGATGGTAGATGGCGGATGGATGATGGATGAATGGTACATGGATGATGGCTACTGGATGAATGGATGAATGGTGGATGCTGATGGATGGATGGTGGATGAATGGATGCTGGATGGTAGAAGGCAGATGGATAATGGATGGATGGTGGATAGATGGATAATGGATGGATGGTAGACAGATGGTGGATACTGGATGGATGGATGGATGGGTGGGTGGTAGATGGTAGATGGATTATGGATGGATGGTGGATACTGGATAGATGGATGGATAGATGGTGGGTGGATGGATGATGGATTGATGGTAGGTAGATGATGGGTAAATGGTAGATGATAGAAGAATGGTGGATACTGGGTGGATAGACGGATGGATGGTGAGTGGATGGATGATGGATGGATGATAGATGGATAGTGGATACTGGATGGACAGATGGATTGATGGAGGGTAGATGGAAGATGGTAGATGGGTGATGGGTGGATGGTAGATGGTAGACGGATGGTGGATACTGTATGGATGAATGGATGGGATGGTAGATGTTAGATGGCTGGATGGACACTGGGTGGATGAATGAGGGGTGGTAGGTAGATGGTGGATGGACGATGGATGGATGGTAGACAGATAGTGGTTACTGGGTGGATGGATGGTAGACGGATGGTGGATGGTGGATGGATGGATGGTAGGTGGACGATGGATATCGGATGGAAGGATGAACAACGAATCCATAGATGGGTGGATGGATGGGTGGGTGGATGAACAGAGGATGCTGACTGGCTGGATGAAAGGTAGATGAAGGGGTGAGTGGGTCAGTGGGTGAGTGACTGGATGCATGAATGAATGGTGGATGGTTAATGAATGCATGTTGGATGTTGGATGGATAAGACACAGAGGCAGAAAGTTGAAATATATGCTAGATAACAAAAAAATGCTGTTGTGCACACACAGCAAACACCACCACACACACACACACCCCCACAACATACTATTGATGAAGATGTTCATCTTACACGGCAGTAATAAAATTGCATCTGAATGTTTCTCATTTGACATTCCCATTGATTTTATTCCCTTGATAGGAAATGAACCCTTTTCCCCTTTCCCTTGATAAGCTTGGGTCTACGTAGGTCATCAGACAAATCATGGAAAATCTCATGGGAGCAAAATGACCCTTCCCTTCCTTTCCACATCTTATCATAAAGCCACCATCACTTTTTCTCTTGTGTGAGGCTCTCACTAATTTACTGATGCACTTCACATTTTACAAGAAATGTTTAGAGGTGTTTAAAATAATTACTGACTTATGAGTATGATTTACTCCTTCCTTGGGGGTTATTTTTATGTAAGGATTCATTTCCACTTTTAACTTTCAAGGTAGAAAGTCAACTTGTTCTAAGACTTTCCTTTTAAGGAAATGTCCTTAAAAAAAAAAGCACCAGTNCTTCACCTGCAGTGCAGGAGACTTGGGTTTGATCCCTGGATCACAAAGATTCCCTAAAGAAGGGAATGGCAACTTGTGCTCCAGTATTCTTGTCTGAGAAATCCCATGGACAGAGGAGCCTGGTGGGCTACTGGTCCATGGGGTCCCCAAGAGTCGGACACGACTTAATGACTCAGCAACATGAAGGATGCAAGCTGTTGGTCTTGGGGCTTTTTTTTTTTCCCAGTCCCCAAATCGCCTCTTGTTTTCTGGTGGCGTGAGTAGTTCCTACCCTAGACCGTTTAGGGAGATGGAGGTGAACGGGATCGAACAGATGTATCTTGATGGTCGCGCAGGGCCCACAGGCGTCCGAAGCCGAGCTGGGCCCCGAGGGCGGGGGTTTCCGCCTGCTCTAAGCTCGCCGCCCCTGTGGTCTGTCCCCTCAGGCAAGTGGCACCTGGGCATCAGCTGCCACGACCGTGGCGACTTCTGTCACCACCCGACCAGCCACGGCTTCGACTACTTCCACGGGCTGCCCTTGACCAACCTGCGTGACTGCAAGCCGAGGGGAGGCACCGTGTTCGCCCCGGGCATCCGGCTGCTGGTCTTCGTGCCTCTGAGGCTCATCACCGTGGCCCTGCTGACCCTGGCCGCGCTCAAGTGGCTGGGGCTCATCCGGACGCCCCGCTGGGTCTTCATCGGCCTCCTCCTCCTGGCCACCCTGCTCATCGGCCTCCTGCTGGGCTTCCTGAACTACTTCCGGCCGCTCAACTGCTTCCTGATGCGGAACCGTGAGGTCACGCAACAGCCCCTGTCCTACGACAACCTCACGCAGAGGCTCACGGTGGACGCCACACGCTTCTTACGTCGGTGCGTCGCCTCTGCCGGCCCGATGGTACCCAGGACGCGCGGGCGGTGCCGTCCTGGCGGTCTGGGCGGGGGAAGCGGGGGGAGCGGGGGGGACCAACGTGCTCGGCCTGCCACGATTCCAAACTCCTGTGCTTGCCGGGGGATGTCTCCAAAGGATGCACGTGGAAAATGAGACGGCATCTTTTGCAGAGGGGTGTGTGCGTGTCGGGGAAGGGATCCTGATGCTGGGCAAGGCGGAAGGCGGGAGGAGAAGGGGACGACAGAGGATGAGATGGTTGGATGGCGTCACCAACGCGATGGACCTGAGTTTGAGCAAGCTCCGGGCGTTGGTGATGGACAGGGGAGCCTGGCATGCTGCAGTCCATGGGATTTCAAAGAGTCAGACACGACTGAGCGACTGAACTGACAGAGGCAGGGCTTGGGAATTGCAATGCTGTGGGCTCCATCCTGCCAGAGTCGCTTTGCCAGGTCCCCCTATCCTGTGCAAATGAGTGTGTACGTGTGCCCAGTCGTGTCCGACTCTTTGCGACGCCGTGGACTGTAGCCCACCAGGCTCCTCTGTCCATGGGATTCTCCAGACAAGAGTACTGGAGTGGGTTGCCATTTCCTCCTTCCTTCCCGACCTGGGATCGAACCTGGGTCTCCTGCTTTGATGGGTGGATTCTTTACCATTGCCTCACCTGGGAAGCCCTCTCTCAGGAACTCTTGCTGTGAAAAACAGACAGAATTGTTCTGTGGGCTTTGAAACTTTAGGGGACACTCCGAGAAAGAAAGATGGAAACTCACTGTGAAAGTCAAACATTTCATCTTTTTTATTTTTAATTAATTTATTTTAATTGGAGGCTAATTACGACCACTTTATTGTAGTGGTTTTTGCCATACATTGTTTTTTTTGTTTTTTTTTTTTTTGATGGCTGCGGTAGGGCTCTGTTGTGGAGAGCGAGCTTTTCCTTGGTTGTGGTGCAGTGGTTTCTTTCTGTTACAGATCACGGGCTACAGGTCCCAGGCTTAGTAGTGGTGGCTTTTAGGGGCTTGGTTGCCACGAGGCTCGTGGGTTCCTTACGAGCGATAGAACCGGCATCTCTTGCACCCCCTGCATTTGCAGGAGAGTTGTTAACCGCTGGACCTCCAGGGAAGTTCCTCTGTGGGTTTCTCCTCTTAGAGAAAGTTTCTCCTCTTGTTAAGCTGCCTGAAATAGAAAGTGGAAGTGTTAGTTGCTCAGCTGTGTCCACCTGTTTGGGGGAACACTCCCCTGGAGGAGGGCATGACCGCCCACTCCAGCATTCCTGCCTGGAGAATCCCACGGACAGAGGAGCCTGGCGGGCTACAGTCCACGGGGTTGCAAAGAGTTGGCCACAACTGAGTGACTAACACACAGGTCTGACTCTTTGCGACCCCAGGCTACGTTTTTCTAGAAGGCAGCAAAAGCTTTGGAACTTTGGAAGACATGCGTTTTACACTATCATCCAGTAAGAGGTCACACGCAGATGTTTAGCTGAAACAAACCTTTCCCGAAAGGAGTTGCTTCTTCTCAGAGGGATTGCTTCTGATGCTTTCTACCTGATCCCATTTTCATGTTCTCAAAAAATGATCTGACACTGAATTTTGTCGTGACACTGAATTNTCGAGTTCAAAGCCGTTTGGGAGGCAGCATGGCTCTGCTGAGTCAAAGGCTCGTTGGGGGTGGTCTGAACTGCCCCCAGAGCTTGCAGCCTCACTCCTGTCTCCCAGCTGCACGCCCCCTACCCTTGGACACATTGGTCCTCTCTTTCCTCTGCCTGAACACCAAGGCGCAGCCTCCGAGGTTGCCTCTGAGTCTGTATGTTGATCTGGTCTCTCTTGAGCACCGAGCTCACCCCTGAACTGCCTGGTGGCTGGTGGGGCATCGGGGGGAGGATGGCAGGGGCGTAGCCCAGCGTGCCCAGCCACCACCACGTCTGGGAGAATTTCCAGCTAGTCCCCGGACTGTCTCCTCCACGGCCCCTCTCCAGGACGGACGGCAGTGGGGGCAAATGAGAGCTGGTTTCCTGGACTCCCACACTGGCCTTTGCCGCCTCCATCCTCTTTCTAAAACCCAGATTAAAAAGAGTGAGAAGACTGTGGCTGGGGGGTCATTCATGGCTTTGACCAGGCTCCTGGGCAGCTGAACGGGGAGGCCTCCTTCCAAGACTATTAGGTGCAAATCAATAGGATTGTTTTCTGCCACTCTGGCGCATAGTTGGTCTCAGACTACAGTCAAAGGAGGTAAAAAGCAGGTATGATACTTACCACACGTGATTTTTAAAAATCTACACGCCTCTTCCCACTAGGCTGGAAATTCCCTAAGAGCAAAGACCCGCCTGATTCACCTTTGTGCTCTGTGTCTGCTGCCTCTACATGTCCAGTTTGTTGGTTCAATGAAAAGACATGCATTTAACTAAGACTTGAGTCATAAAAATCCAACATGAATATAGTTTAGTTCATGACTCTCTCTCTATATATAGAGAAGTACAATGTTTCTGTCACCAGAAATGCACATATCAACACATATGAATATTAAGAACAAATTTCTCTCTCAGGCCTCCCCCATCAGTCCCCACTTTCCTTGGCTGGAAGGAAGTACTGGAATAGTAGAATAGCGTCCCAGATTATGACAACAAGTTAACTGCACCTTGAATTTTAATTTTAATATTAAAAATATTTTTGAAAGTCATGTAAAAAGTGTTAAGACTAATCAAAGACATGAAAACTATGTTTAAAAAACCTTTAGGTTCTATTTTCAACAAAAGTGAATTCGGAAAAGCAGTAACTTCAAAACTGAAGAAGCTGCAGGGAAACCGTTAGGTCCTTGTTATATAACCCTTCAAAAGGCAAAGCAAAAACCGAAGTTTTTGTGTGTGTGTGTATAACTGCACCAACCTATCCTATTCCTATCAGAGTGGCAGAAGCCTGTCAGGGCTTCCCTGATAGCTCAGTTGGTAAAGAATCCACCTGCAATGCAGGAGACCCCACTTCAATTCCTGGGTCGGGAAGATCCGCTGCAGAAGGGATAGGCTACCCACTCCAATATTCTTGGGCTTCCCTGGTGGCTCAGATGGTGAAGGATCTACCTGCAATGCGAAAGACCTGGGTTCCATCCCTGGGTTGGGAAGATCCCTTGGAGAAGGGAACGGCTACCCACTCCAGTATTCTGGCCTGGAGAATTCTATGGACTGTATAGTGACATCTTAACGAAAAACCCAGATGAACCCAAATAACCTGTTGCCCATGTTGGAGCAATATTAGTGAAAACACTACCATGTGTGTGCCGCAGTGCCCTTCATAAGAAACTTCTCATGTGCATTATCTGAAGACTGAAAGATTTGAAAAGCATCTAGGTTAGCTGCTTTCTCGTGGTTTTTTTTTTTTTTAATTTCTTTTTTCTCTCTGAGCTGTATTCGTTAAAAACTTTTAAAATTAATTTTGAAATATAGGCATACAATATAATGCTAAGTGTCAGGTGTACAACATGGTGATTTTCCATTTAAATACGTTATGAAACAATGACCATAATAAGTCTGATAAAGTTATGTCCCAATAGAAGTTATTATTGCATTAAAAAAGAAGCATCTAGGTAAAACCATTTTTGGGTAACATGGTTCTCTCTGTTAGAGAAGATATCTAATTGCTTTGCTGAATTGTTGGATTTAAGAATCTTGAGAGAATCGTCTTATATGGCACCAGAGAACCATAATGAGTGGTGACACTACCACATTTATAAAAACTTTTTTCAAGGATCTGAAGGCACATAAATGTGTTATTTCTTTCACCAGAATATCCTCACAAATTTAGGCAGGTCTTACCACCTTTATGGGGCTTCAGTGTTGGCTCAGTGGTAAAGAATCTGCCTGCCTATGTAGGTGACATGGGTTCAATCCCTGGGTCGGGAAGATCCCCTGGAGAAGAAAATGGGAACCCATTCCAGTATTCTTGCCTGGAGAATCCATGGACAGAGGAGTGTGGTGGGCTGCAGTCCATGGGGTCGCAAAGGATAGGACACGACTTCACAACTGAACAACAACTACCTTTATGACACGTAGATTCAGGGCTAGTCAGTAACAGAAGGATAACATACTAGCACAGACAGTGTTTGTGAAATTTATTCAGATTCATTTGAGTCCAAATTTTCCGATCGACCCCAGTGCCTTCTTTCCATGCATTGATATAAAGGACAGTCTGTGGGTATACAACTTGCCCTGGGTTCCATTCATCACAGGCTACGAGGAAAATGATTCAAACTTTCATTGCTGAAATTTATATTCTCTCCCTGAGCCTCATGGCTGGGATGATTTATCAGTCAGTCAGTTATACAACTTGCCCTGGGTTCCATTCGTCACAGGCTACGAGGAAAATGATTCAAACTTTCATTGCTGAAATTTATATTCTCTCCCTGAGCCTCATAGCTGGGATGATTTATCAGTCAGTCAGTTCAGTTCAGTCACTCCGTTGTGTCCGACTCTTTGCGACCCCACAGACCGCAGCACGCCAGGCCTCCCTGTTCATCACAAACTCCCGGAGCTTGCTCAAACTCACACCTATCAAGTCGGTGATGCCATCCAACCATCTCATCCTCTGTCATCCCCTTCTCCTGCTGCCTTCAGTCTTTCCCGGCATCAGGGTCTTTTCCAGTGAGTCAGTTCTTCCCATCAGGTTGACAAAGGATTGGAGTTTCAGCTTCAGCATCAGTCCTTCCAACGGTTTATAGTCAAGCGTTTGTTTTCGAGATGCTAACTTGAGATGTGAAGCCTCTGATGACAAGGGCATCAGGGGCTGATGCTTTCATGGTTTTGTGATGGTCCCAGATGAGTTCTACCTGGACAAATGTAGGTGCGTGCCCCTGCATTACAAACATGTGTTTCCAAGTCGAGGAGAGTGGTGGTGTGGAATATATAACCATGCACTTCATGACCCCTCACCCTAACTTACTCTTGTAGGGATAGAATTTGTCTTGGGAAGATGCTTCTCCTGTTAGGGACGT